TTCGGCTTCTAGGGTTTAGGGTTTAGGATTTCTTTGGGGAAGGTTCAGCTGAGGTTGTAGGTTCTGGGGCTCTCTCCAGGGTTTACATAGACCATGATGGCTTCAATGATTGATGTGGGCGGTGCAGTTTAAGATACTGCACAGGAGCTTCCGATTACGGTCGCAGGTTTGTTCAAGGCTGCGGGGAGGTTGAGATCCATGTCGGGTTGAGGGTTAACCCTAAACCCTAAACCCTAAACCGTAAGGTTTGAGCAGCTACTTGGGATTTGGGCCTCAGAGAACAGGTCGAGGTTCCTGTATGGGTGGTTGTCAAAACTATGGTCCCTGTATGGGTCCGTAATAGAATGCGGCACCTAATATTCAGGGTACCCAAAAAGGGACCCTAATTTTGACAATCATATAGAACCCTTCAAGGAAGCCCTTAAAACTTGAAGGAATCCTCGAAAAGGTCCGAAAAGCTCCACACCTGGAGTTAGGCGTACTTGCCGGACGCCACGCTGCACATCTCCTTCGGCCCATTGGCGGCTCACTCAGCGGAAGTTCAGGGGACGGATGCTCAAGGACCTTCAAGCTGAGAGCCTATGACGCGTATCTCAATTGCAATACTTGGGTTTAGGGTTTAGGGTTTAGGGTTTAGGGTTTAAGACTCAACCCATGCTTTAAACCATGACAAAGAACTTAAATCGAGATTTGCACTCCCGTCTCATGGGCTTCTGATGGAGGTGTGTTCTCAAGCTCGGTTTGTCCCTAGTTTAACCCGAACCCCTTAACCCGAACCCCTAAACCCGAAACCCTAAATCCTTAACGGGGAGCATTCTCATGGGAACACCGCCTGCGCGAAAACATATCGTTCAAATCTTTCCATCGACTGAGTACCGGAGCATCAGCCCTGCAAACCCGAATTATATCCTGCACGATTTAGTCCTAAAATGACGGTAATATAGGGGCCTTAATATTTACCAATGCTTCTTTTTTTGAGGGGGGGGGGGGTCCTTACTATAGTTATGTTATAATGGGCCCCAAAACTCTATTTCAATTATTAAGGCCCATATATTAGGTATTACTGTACGTAACAGGTACCTGGCCACTCGATCAAATCCTTCGTCAGGTTGTAAATGAGTACAAAAAGCGGGGATACATATATATATATATATATATTTATTTATTTATTTATTTATTTATTTATTTATCTATTCATTTATTTATTTACCTATCTATATACATACATACATACATACATGCATACATACATACCGGGTTTAGGGTATAGGGTTCAGGAGTTAGGGTTTAGGGTTAACCGAGAGGATCCCTATATACTTCTATGATGGAATTATGTCCCCCAAAACCGTCATAAGGAGGGTCTTCTGGGGCCTACTTGCATAATTGTAGTATATGGTGGACCCTTGATAATGGAAGCCCAACTAGGGTATCTACGTCCCACGTATCCTGATCCGCAAAAACCGAGCCCCAAAGGTTCTAAAGCCTAAAGTGTTGTGTTACCTGAAACCCCTAAACCCTAAACGCCTAAACCCTGAGCCCTAAACCCTTAAACCCTAAACTCCATCTAAACCCTAAACCCTAAACGCCTAACCACTAACCCCTAAACCTTAAACCCTTAAACCCTAAACCCCCATAAACCCTTAACCCCAGAACCCTAAACCCCTAAACCCTAAAAAACCCTATAAACCCTAAACCCCTAAACCCTAAAAACCCCTAAACCCTAAACCCCTAAACCCCTAAAACCCCTAAACCCTAAACCTTTAAACACTAAACCCCTAAACCCTACAAAAAACCCCTTAAACCCCAAAGCCCTAAGCCCTTGATCCGACTCCTCCCCTGCCACTGAAGGCGCAGCTGGTGGAGAAGCTCATCGCTCCTCTCAAGAATCCTGCGATTCTACGGGGACAACGTGCGCAAGCGCAGTGCAGGGTTTAGGGTTTAGGGGTTTAGGGGTTTAGGGTTTAGGGTTTAGGGTTTAGGGGTTTAGGGGTTTAGGGTTTAGGGGTATAGGGTTTAGGGTTTTGGGTTAACAGAGGGGCCTTAATAATTAGAATAGGGTTTGGGGTATACTATACGATGAGTATAATAA